ACACACACACACACACACACACACACACACACACACACACACACACAGTCTTGGCTTCCGTCTCCTTAATGTCTCAATTAGCTGGTATCCACATTCTGGCCAAACAGAAGGACAATTATGCATCAGCCTGGTGTGAAATGTGTTGGTGGAATAAGCAGATCCAATCTTGATAGCTTGGAGAGGCGCTAACGTCATGTTTTCCGTTATACTTTCATGAATACGCGGGTATTTATGGAAACTGGACAGCTCCACTCACGTCCTTAAATAATAAAAAACGAATGCGACGAAATGAGTCACATTATGAGCGATGTCCCCAACAGCAGTTCTTGGAAACGACTCTCGGTTTCCCAGCACTTTATTGTTTAATGAGGATGCCAGCTTGTTTCCAGACTTAGATTAGTTTGTCTTTGTGGGGTCCAACACATTGTCGGCTCCCCAAGGCTACGGCCCTTTAAGGACACTGCGAGGAAACATTTTGCCTCTCCTGCTCTCGTGTTTGAAATCCTCTGTTGCCAAGAGATAACCGTTTGAGCATTAAGTGACCTGATGTGCTCGTGCATTTACTCTTTTAGATTCTTTCATTTTACACTAAACACTAATGACGCTAGTCGTGACATTGCACCTTGAACTTTGACCCTCTTGCACAAGATCTTTTTCTTGTAGGACGGATATATTGACGCACGTGAGGACAGCGATAACAGAAACTAAAGCTGATATAGAGTTAAAGTATTTGTTTTGCTTGTGAATTTGTTCTGTCAGTAGTTCCCTGATTACCTAATCACTCATGAGAAGTGAGGTAAAGGAAAAAAACTGCCATAAGTGACCTATTAGTGTACACTAAGAGCTGCCTTTTCCCAAAGATGGAAGTAAATAAACAAATTTCAGTGGCAAACAAGTCCAACTGAACACTTCCTGAACACTTAGCATCCATGCATGGACTTCCTTTTTGTCCTAGTTAATTTTTTTTCCCTGGCATAATTCTTCTACTTTGAAAACATAAGGCAACACTGATTGAATGAGGACCCTCGAGGGTTTATAGATTTCATTGTATACTAATTTCACTCAGACAAATTAAAGAGCCCGCGGCAACATATGTCCCTCAGTGCAGCCAGATACAGAATGAAAGTCCCTCGTATCATTAGCAAGTTCCACAAAAAGGCCGAGCTGCACAGGAGGAGGACGAGGGTGGAATGCCTTCAGCGAGGAGGAGGAGTTGGAACTCGTACTACAGCACACTCGCGCTCTCAATAGGAGTGTGTGGCGGTGAAGGCTGCCGGCAGCAACAGTTGGCGACACTCTTGTGTTGGAGAAAACAGAGGATTAACTAACCGAAGACAGTGCGGAGGACTTGAAACAGCTGTCGGACAACATTGCCATCAGCGGGGATACTTCAACATACACTAAAAATGTCTGAGAACCAGTATTTGAAGTTTTCTCACATGTTTTTATTACACAGATCTTAGACAGATGCATGTTATGCTGGGAAAACTGTTCCAAAAAGATTGTTTTTAAGGTCATTTTTAATTTTTGTTGTAATTTACGGATCAATAAATGTGCCCTGTGCACAAAAAGTGTTTAAAATGTAGCTAGCACAACTCAAGAAGTATTTACGCATGACCAAAACTCTCTGCTGATTCTTAAATATAATCTTAAAAGATGTCGGCCTCAACTTCTTTCAACTCTCTCCTTGTTGCGCACGTATCATGTAAATACCCATAATGCACTGGGCACACAGCAGGCTACATGGCAGTTTAATTATGTTTTTTTGCCTCGAGCCCCAGCAGCAAGAAGTACTCCTGAGCTGCACCGCTACCTGGCCCACGGTCTGCTCCGTGTCAATTAGTTGGTGGGAATTTGATTAAACAGGAATTTATTTAGGAATATGCAGCATGTAAGCACAAACTAAACGGAAATAATAAGGTCTTACTACTCGGTTTTAAATAAGGCCCCCTCTACAGTACGGGGCCGCTAGATTACAATTACGCACTAATGGCGGGACCTGCCTTGAGGCCCTCGTCATTTCAGGTGATAGAGGGTTTAGCGGTGCATATTACCCAAAATCAGCAAATAATCACATTACAACAAGCCAAGTGGAAAATCACACTCTGTTTTCTGGTAGAGCCCGAGAAAGTCCAGGAAACAAACATCGTGTTAAGATATGCTTTTTCTTTTTTTTGTCAGCAAATATATAAACCATTAATAGCATCATTAGACTCATTTTGGATACATTGTTAATATTTCACGAGTGCCTTCCCTCTTTCTTCTGATTGATATATTATTTTTGAATTTGCAAATTCACACCATCTGCATCCCTGCACATCTTTCCAGAACCGTCATTTTAAATTTCCCTAAAAAATAAATTAAAAAAAAGCACCCGAAGAATGTCAGACAAAGTCATTTTAATGTCTCCTACTGAGGCATTGTTTTGGCTCGCATCGGGGTCCCGATGTGTCAAAGGTGTGAACTTCTTCTTCATTTCTCTGACAATGCTAAAGTGTGCACAACTGTTTTAAGATGCCAAGCATAATATGGCACGTCTCCTCTCCTGCCTGGCATCTCTGACTGCTTGCCTCTGCCTTTCTTCCCCCTTCTCAAGAGCTGCCAACTTGATATTTGATCTCTGACAATTTAAAAAGAGAAGATGGAAAGAAAACCTCCACAAGTGTCATTGAATAGAAGTCTACACGCCGAATCTGTTCCGTCAGTGCCTTTACCTCACAGCCGAGCACGTCGTTTTGAAATTGGCTGCTCCCGTCTATGCAGCAACCCGATACAGCCTCGCTCGCTTGTAAATATCCTGCATTTGCTCGCTGATGAAATCACCAACCCGCCAAGAGACGCATGTATTTGACAGCAGAGCCACATGGAGGCTCAAATTATTTACAGCTCAGCATTGGCTACGTTCCCGTAAGCACTATATTAGCGAGATTTTATAGCCGCACCTGAGAAGTCTTTTTGTGGGATAAGCAGCGTGAATCCTTCCCAACTGACACATATTCCTTATATCTATAAAATATATCACCATAGATGCTGCAGACAGCTGAAACTAAAAAAAAAAATTCTAGGGCACAGAGTATATACACACACACACACCTCTACAGCTTATATTAAAAGAATTAGAGTTTAAATGT